GCGGGGGGAGCGGAGTCTCGAGGCGGGGGTGGGTTGTGTGCGAGAGTGTTTGGCGGAAGGGTCCTGCGTTAGCGAGGAGCGTTTGCGGCTCTTCGTGGGCGTTTCGGGTGTGCCCTGGCCGGGGCACGGGCTGTGCGGTAAGGCGGTGGAGGGCTGAGGCGCCGTGAGGGCGCTGCCGCGGCTCGGTCGAGGGCACCGTCGGGCAGGCGGCAGATCAGCGCGGGGCACCTCGGCTTGGGGCGGTTTCTGGGGCCCTTCGGCCGTTTGCTGAGCGCGAACGGAACCCTCCTGGAGGTGTGACTGAAAGCAACGCCTGTTGCTTCTCTTTTTTATTTATTTATTTTTACTTTTTTATTGCTATTAGAGTTAAGGGCTCCATCATGCTGGGAAGGTTTTTAAATAGACACGGCTTCTGTAGGCTGAGTATTTATTCTTGCAGAGAGCAAAGCTTTGAAACTTGACTTCAGCTAGCAGTTCATGGAGATAAATAAGCTATTTTATTGACATAATATAGTTCTTTCAGAGACTTATGCTATCAGCAATTACATCACGTTACAGCCAAGTTCTATTAAGTGGAAGTCAGAAGGGTTTTTTTTCCCCTCCATTCTGCACTTTACGTCAGTATTATTGTTTTCACTTACAAATATTTCAAGTAATTCAAAAACGAGGTATGTGAGGGAAATAGTATAGTTAAAAGAATATTCAGAAAAGAACAGCTGAGAGAGGTAAACCAATTGTTAAGTGTTATTTTACCAGTACAAAATTAAGTGAGGTAAAAGTAGGAGGAGGTGTCATCTCTAGTTCTGTAGTTCAGCACTCATACTATCACAGCATCATGATAAAAACATCCCTCTTAACATTTGCAAGAAGGATAAGTGCTTGTATACTTTGGTGTATGGTCATTTGTTCAGTTTTGCATGGTGCAATATAAGATGTTGATACATTAATTTGTTAAGTCAGTGACTATGGATCTGAGTGTAATAGATGAAGTGTAGCATATGTTTGTGAAGATTTGCGTGTACAACACGCTTTCTTTCATCATAAAGGTCTTCTATGATATCAGATTTTTAATTGTGAGGTTTTAGTAGGAGAGTGAACAGTAAGAGGCACTTCTCTGTGTGCCTTTTTTTAATAGGAAGCAGCAGTGTGCAAACAGGTGTGTAGTTGCATGAAAGGCTTAGTTCTAAAACTTCTATGGAAACGTGCAGAGAGTAGTAGGTAGGAGAGCAAAAGCAGGTTGAATCTCAGCTTTGCAGGTTTATTGATTTACTTTACTTGTGTTCTTGCATTTGATTTTAGTCTGCCATATGAATTTGGCCAAAACTAATAAATCATTTACGCTTCCTTGTACCTTCTTAATGGACAATTGCTTGGAGTATAGCTCACCCTCCCAGGAGAGAGACAGGACAATTTGGGACAAGCCTAAACAAACATGGCTTGTTTGAAAGTGATATGGATTTACCCTTCATTTGCCTATGGTCCCAAGCAATTGCAGCAATTGGAAGGTCCCCTTGAAACTAAAAGAAACACAGTGTAATTAGAGCACAGGAAGAGCTCAGAGGATCCGTGGAGTGATCTCATGGTCAAGTATAGTTTGGTACCAGAACGTGAGAGAAATAAAATTGATTTCAAGTCTCTGGTAATCGAGACTTAAGTTGAGGGATAGCTCAGCACTAATCTTACCACTGTGACAGCTGGTGTTTGTATCTGTTGTAGATGCACATTGTGTGCCTGTAACTGTTTTGGACTAAGCTTAGTCTCACTTCTCAGAACTTAAATGCTTTGTTTACCTACCCCAGGTAATAATCAAGTGTCTTGGCAAAAGTTCTAGCAGATTCTGTCCTACATTTGGGACTCTGTCTTATAGGAAGCACCAAACTAATCAGTTTCCACTCCCTCCTTTTAATCTCCTGTGTGGCTGAACCATGGTAGGGATTGGGCTGAGAACATTCTTCCTGGTTCCATGTTCCCTTGCTGCTTTTCTTTCCTGTCCTTGGAGAGAAACGCAGTAGGTTGAGGAATGGTGGCAGAGAGCACTGCTGCTACCACCTTTATTTCACTCCTGGTACCGCATCTATGTTAGGACTATGGTAGAAGGGGAGAGGATGGGAAGGAGGCAGGGAAGGAATAGGTTGAGATGGGCTAATGAGCACTAGCCTCCCTTCACTCCTACTATATCTGATCTTGTTTCATCTTTGTTAACACATGACCAACAGGGTGGAAAAGTGATCAATGTGTGTGTGAGTTTATAAACAAAGTGAAGCACTGGAGAGTACATTGGTGTAGGTGTGAGCTAGAGAAGTGCTTTCTGGGTTCTTCACTCAATTCTCCTCTTCCCTGTATATGTTGAAGAAGAAACTGAATCAGGGCAAGAGAGAGTGGTCCCTGCCCACTTTACATCCTTTCCCCTGTCATACTTCTGTTACACTGAGTCTGTCTCATTCTAGACTGTCTGTGCAGGCTCTAAGACAGTGGTAGCGAGGTTTAATGTGGTAGAGTGTGTGTGTGGAGGGTGGGAAGGGAAGAGATGGAAAACACTGAGCAAAGTTCTTAAGAATCACCTTTCCTGAGCATTCAAGGTCACAGCAAAGGAGAAAGGAAAGGCAGAATGTGCTATGAGCCCAAAAGAGGGGGAAAATGTAGATAAGCAAAGGATAGTGACCTTTTTCTTTCCCTCATGCAGCTCTGCGTCCAGCCCTCATTTACCTAAATTGTTCTCACTTTGCCTCCTTCCCTTCCCTTGCCTCCCCCCCCCCAAAAAAAAAACCTAACTGAAAAGCACTCATCCTTAAACACTCCTCTCACTGCTATTAGACTCTTCAGAGACAGTTCAGAAACTTATTTTCTCTCCCTAGCTATAAGGGAGGTGAACTATGTTTTAAAATTATCTTTCAGTTCAAACAGATGAGGACTTGTACCTTGTAAGCTTAGCAAAGGACTACGCTCACACAGATAATGCAGATTGCCAGTGGGGCTTTGCTAGATAGCAAAGGCTCCCCTAGAACAAAGATATTTACAAAAATAGGATGAAACCATCCCCTTGCTCTAGATGTCCATGGGATGATTCAGAGCCTTTAGTATTTATCGAAGTGGAGAAATGAAGCGTAAGGAAATGTGTTCTGTGGTAAAGATCACTTAACGTAAGTACGAACATGTTATCATTTAATGTACTATGTCAAGCAAGGCTTTTTCAGGAAAAAAAAAAACAACAACAACAGCATAGAAAGAGTAAGGCAGTAAAACATAGTGTTGTTTAGGGGAGTAGATGAGAACTTTCTAAAATCACTTTGGGAAGCATTCTGTTAGGTTATATCGTTCAGATCTTTGGAGATGGTTATCATCTCCCTTTGTCACCCACTCTTCAGAGTTCAGTGGATTCAACTTCTTAAGATATAATCTTGAAATATGCATAAGCTAGTGCTTAGTCAGCAACTGCTGCTGATAGAGAGTTTATACTTGATCAGTTACCAGGGCTCAGTAGATGGATATGAAATCATTTAGGTATAGTAACTTGATCACTTGAAAATCTGCAAGTTTAGGCCCTGATTGATAGAGATATATATAATTTTTTTTTAAGTTCTGTAAACTTTCTCCAGTTTGCTCTTGTCTTTTCCATTCTATCAACTCACCTGTTACTTTAAAGAGCTGAAGAAACTGAGACTTCCCCTCTACCCTCACCTTGGGCGATCTGTTCTTCAACATTGTCTCAGCACGAGCTTTGAGGCGATATCTGCAATAAATTGTGATAGCTTCATTTCTTTTTCTCCTCTTTAGACAGTATGATATTTTCTAGTTCTTTCTGTTTTAAATAGATACACATTAAGCAACAAAATTAAGGCATTTTTATAGCTAGATGGCTCTGCCTGTTTTTAGCTCAATATTTCTATTTAAAGTCTCTTGTGGCCTTGCAAAATTAAAGTTATTTTTCTTTCATTTCCCTGCATCTTCATCCGATTTATTTATTTGCTATAAAACCATTTGCCGATAGTGCTTTGCTCTTACTTGGCAATTCATTGATGTAGAGAACCATGTTAACCAAGGAGTTTAATTGCAAAGATAATTCTTTTCTAGAAGCAACATAAAGAGTAAATACTAATGGCACTGTGGCCATTCTAGATTGTGGATTTGGTTTTATACTGAGCATCTACCAAATTACAGTACAGTGGTTTAAAGGACTATAAGCATGACCTGGCTTTTAAACTCTAATTTGATTCTCTATAAGGCAAGATTGTTATGCATTTTGTGTAGCTTACTAGTATTTGTTGGAAGACTTGTGACCCAAAGCTGCTGAGGGAAAAAAGCTGTGTATTTTCAGTCTGGTAAGAAAGGGAAAATGCTCTCATAGGTTGTTCACATGCATAGACAATACTAACATGCAATTTCTCTATTTGTCCTCCAAAATTCATCAAAATATAATGCGATTTCAATTTTTTTTCAGGATATATCTTTCAGCATAATCTTGGAGAGAGTGTCATTCTTATCTGTGACAAAGAATTCATTTTGAAGACCCAGTGGTGTCCCACTCTGAAATTTTTCTTAGATTTCTTGCTGGGAATTGAACTTACAGTTCAATTATTTTCTAATGTTTTCCTGCCATGACAGTTGTAAAGTAATAAGATATCCTAAATGAAAGTCGTGGAGAAATGTTTCAATTCATGGAAGGAATCAAAATGAAAAGTTTGCAGTAGTAACAGATTAAATTTTGAAAATAATTTCTGACATTCTAGATGTTTTTCTGCTATTTCTTCTTGATTACTTTCTTGCAGTTTTTTTCCCTTCCCACCAGTAAAATGAAAATCAGTACATCCTCTAAAAGACCGCTATCACATACTCCATGATATTTGTATGGAAAAATGGAAAGGGTGCAGATGTACAGCATAAGAATACATGTTCAATTTGAAATACCAGTATTACAAGCTTTAAGAAAACAAGACGTAATGAAGATTTTCTCCAAAAGCAGTCTTATCATGACTTTTGTCCAAGTGATGATCTATCAGAATCAGAGTGGAGAGGAGAAAATGGGCTATCGGCCAGATGATCAGCAAACTAATGGGGTGCCCTATGGCCTCTTTTGATAAATAATTGTTCTAAGCTCTTTTTACTTTCCCTGTGAAAGTAAAAATCAGCTAAGCAAACA